AAAAAAAAGAATGCATAATTGTTATTGTCAACAAATATATCTATATCTCTAGTTATACATGTGTGTATATGTATGCAGATACATATGTATATATATATGCATCATTCAAACTAGAGCCTACAGAGTAACCTCTCATTTTATGACCTGCACCAAGATATCATAGTCAGAGTGGTGGAAACATCAATATTCTAGCCAGAAAAGAAAGAAATATATGATGCAATATATTTAACTTTGACATCATCTGTTCTTCATATAAGAAAGGGGTCAGTAATTCTGGCTCACGAGGAATCTTTCTGCTGCGGCTTATTGCAGAAACCCTAAGTACAAAGTCAGCGATGCCTTAGAGTAGGGAAGCTGTCCTCCTGATGAGCTTCCTCAAGGCCTCTTTCATGTCCCTGTTCCTCAGGCTGTAAATGAAGGGGTTCAGCATGGGCGTGACCACTGAGTACATCACAGAGGCCATGGCAGTCTTCCTGGGAGGGTTGGTCACTGCAGAACTGATGTACACCCCCAAACCTGTCCCATAGAACAAGGAGACCATGACTAAGTGAGACCCACATGTGGAAAAGGCTTTGTACCTGCCTTGCATGGATGGCTTGATCAACACAGAAGAGATTATCTGAATGTAAGAGAATAGGATTCCAGAGAAAGGAATGCCACCAAACACTAAAGCTGCCAGGTATATCAGTACATTGTGTATAAAGGTGTCTGAACAGGCCAGCTTGATGACCAGAGCGAGTTCACAGAAGAAGTGGGGGATCCCCAGGTCTTTGCAGAAGGACAGACGCAACGCCATCAAACTAAGGAGTAGGGCATTTACACTACTACTGAGCAGAGACAAGAGAGTCAGCAGGCCACAAAGACGAGGGTTCATGATGACCGTGTAACTCAAGGGATGGCAGATGGCCACGTAACGGTCATAGGCCATGGCTGCCAAGAGACAGTTTTCCAGGCCAGCAAAAAGCAAGACGAAGCAGGCCTGTGCCAAGCAGCCTGTATATGTGATGCTTTGGTCCTGTGTATGGATGTTCGCCAGCATCTTGGGGACCGTGCTTGAGCTGATGCTGATGTCAGCCAGGGACAGTTTGGACAGGAAGGAGTACATAGGGGTGTGGAGGTGAGGGTCTGCATTGATGGCCAAGATGATGAGCAGATTCCCCATCACGGTGACAAGATAGATGGACAGGAACACTCCATAGAGGATGGGCTGAAGCTCTCCATCTTCCGTGAGACCCAGGAGGCGGAATTCTGCTACACCTGTTCGGTTTATTGCTTCCATATTGTTTAGGAGACTGATTGGGGGTGGAGGAAACACAGGTGATGGGATGGAAAATGGATGAACAAAGGTCTCTCATGGTAGAAAAACATATACCTATTGTGCTTTTATTTCTACTATGGTATTGTCTTATTATATATTTGTACAAAGGGCTTCCAATTCAACATGTCTGCTTAAGAGTGCAACACATCTTGATTAGTGTCTATGCTTTTAAGTTAATTTTGCCCAATTTTCTAATCTTTTAAAATATTACAAGCTTACTATCTTTAAGTAGTTGTACAAAGGAGTTGCCATTTAACAATGCAATTTATAAATACAACGCATCTTGCTCAGTGTGAACCCTTTGAAAAACACTTTCACTCATCACTCCCAACCCAACCACCCCATCTCTCATTCTTCCTAATTTTGTAGGATATACATTGAATTATTTTGTTTTCTGCATCTTCATTTTCTTTTTTTCTTTTTGCCAATTTTATTGTTGTTGTTTGCCTGATATTTCTAGGCCCTTCCCTCTCTTCTCCCAGTTTTTCTGTATCTTTATTACTTTATATCTATCCCTTTCTATAGCTCAGTGATCAATGCCATGGTTTTCTCCCATATGCTTATAATATAATAAAAATAAATAATACAATAATATAAATATAACCTAAATAATACAATAAATATAAATAATATAAACAAATAATATAATAATATACAGAATATGTAATATAATAAATAAAATAATATAAATAATAGTAGCAGTAAAATAAATCTGACCTAGATTTAGCAACATAAACATAAAAAAACCTATGAAAGTAAAGTAAAAAAATGTGCTTACAATAAATGAACAGTAGTCTAGAACTAGTGGCTTACACCTGTAATCCTAGCTACTTAGGAGGCTGAGACCTGTAAGATTTCAAAACTATCCTAGACAGAAATGGAAACACAGTGAGTTTTTGTTGTTGTCATTGTTGCTGGCAGTGGTGAGAGTGGTGGTGTTTGTTTTTGGTTTGGGTTTTTTTCTGGGAGGTTGGGCAAAGAGGAGGTGTATTTATTTCCTAAATTGTCTTATGAACTATAACCCCTTATTAATCAATAAACTCAAAGAAAGTAGAAAAAAGAAATAAAATAATTAAATAAATAAAACAATGGAGTAAATCTGCATTATACAAAAATTTTAATTAGCTTAAAAGTAACAGAAATAATAAAATATTAATTTATAAAAATAAGCTAGAAATTATTGTCAAAACAATGAAGACCTTATATCCATGAGTAATCATTTAATGAAGAATGTTTTGATTGGTTTAAGTTAAAGGAAGAAGAACAGGAGAAGGGGAAGGGAAGAGGTGAGTCCGATCAAGTACATTGGATGCAGATAGGAGGTATCAAAATGAAGCCACCTTTACACCTAATCTATGCTAATAGAAATAGTGGAGATAATAAATATGAATATTAAAGATTTAACTTTAAGAAAAAATTACATAGGGTGCCACATTTGTGTTAGATAATGCTAAGAAAATGAAAAAAAATAGAAACTTCTCCATATCATCAGACATATAAGGATTTTATATTTCCCTTTCTCTAAAGAAAGGGAAACCCTCACTAGAGGTTTTATTCAGAATTTCAATGAAATTTTATGTCCTCAAGTAAGTTTACTAAATTATTTTATTCTCTTGGTTGTATTTTTTTTTGTTGGTCATGGGGCTTGAACTCTGGGCCTGGGCACTGTCCCTCAGCTCTTCAGCTCAAGGCGAGCGCTCTACCACTTGAGCTACAGCACCACTTTCGGTTTTCTGGTGGTTTTATTGGAGATAGGAGTCTGACGGTCTCTCCTGCCCGGGCTGGCTTTGAACCGCGATCCTCAGATCTTAGCCTCCTGAGTAGCTAGGATTACAGGTGTGAGCCACCAGCACCCGGCTCTCTTGGTTGTATTTTTAAACTATTTACACTTTACACTAGACCATATTTTATTTTTTCCCTTTTAATAAATTTTTATTGTGAAATACTGTACATGAGCAATGTAATGAGTACATTTCTTATCAAGCATTGTTGCCTCCTCCTTTGTTTTTCCCCTACTATCCCTTCCCTCCCACCTCCACAACTACACTCCCCCTCCCTGCCTAAATTGTAAAATTCATTTTTCATCATAGTGTCTTGTACATCTCATTGTTGCAATAGGTCAACCTGTATTCCTATTTAAACATTTTGTTTTTTCCCTTCCCCTCCCCAAATTATGCCAACATCAAATACAGTGAAAACAGGGGTTATACTGTGGGGGAGAGACATACAAAGCAACAAAAAAAAATCACATAGTATGTTATAAATACATAAGAAACAATAGCAAGAAAGAAAAAACACTTGTGTCCCTATCTTGGGGTTCATTTCACTTAACTTCATCTTATCTGGTTATATGCATATAGCTTTTAAATTATTCTACTTGTCCCAAACATACACTAGTTATTGCAAATAAGGGAAACCATGGGACCTATGTTTCTTTGGGTCTGGCTTACTTCACTTAGTATAATTTTCTCCAAGTTTTTCCATTTCCTAACAAATGGGGCAATGTCATTCTTCCCGATGGAGGCATAGAATTCATATATAATATATATACATATATATATGTGTGTGTGTGTATATATATATATATATATATATATATATCACATTTTCTTGATCCATTCACCTACTGAGGGGCATCTGGGTTGGTTCCATATCTTAGCTATAGTAAATAATGCTGCAATAAACATAGCTATGCTGGTAGCTTTTGTATGGTCTTGTTTATGATCATTTGGGTAAATGCCCAAAAGTGGGATTGCTGGGTCATAGGGAAGATTTATGTGGAGTCTTTTGAGGAAACTCCATACTACTTCTACATGCTAGTCTTAATTTTTGACTGATTATTTTGGCCTAGCTACTTGACTTTATTCCAAAATGTCTGACATAACCATTTCTCTCACTGAGGGATATTGTATTACAGAGTGAATACATAACACATTCACAAATATATGCATAGACATTGATAAAATGTGTAATGTGTCAGCTGATTTTTAAGAAATGTATGGAAAGCAGTTAAATGATACTGCTTGACTCTACCAAATGAAGAAGAGAATAACTGATTATATAAATTCAGGCCTTTTTCTCTATCTGTGTGTGTGTGTGTGTGTGTGTGTGTGTGTGTGTGTGTGTGTACATGTGCATGCATGTATGCCAGTTGTGGAGCTTGAACTCATAGCCTGTGCCCTGTCTTTGAGCTTTATCACTCAAAGCTGGTGGCTTACCACTTGAGCCACAGCTCCACTTCTGGCTTTTTTTAAGGGGGGCAGTGGGTGATAGAGTAGTTCATTAGAGATCAGAATCTCACAGTCTTTTCTGCCTAGGCTGGTTTTGAACCATAATCCTCTGATTTCCTGAGTAGCTAGGATTATAGGCATGAGCTGGTTGTTTTTCTAATTTTTAACATTCCTTCATTATACTATCCCAGGCATTTTTACAAATAATCTACATACTTATATATATATATATATACAACAAAACTCCATTTTTCCTGACTCCCTTTGTTATTGTAAGGAAAAAATAATCTCCCCCTAGAATACTATGTTAATATTTACTAATTTGGGGAGCATGGATATGGGCTTCTAAGTTGATGCTGTTTCCTCAAGTAAAACAGAAATAAAGGAGAGGAGAATATAGCCTGAGAATCTGCATCAATTTCTTGATTTCTCTAAAAGTCTCATGATCAGGCAATAATCTTAACCAAAAATCTGTTCTGTGAAAAGATATCCTAAGGTCTTTAGCCAGCCTGATAGCTTTTCCATGGACCAATAAATTACAGAGAATTTCAACATATCCTCAAAAACTCAACATTGAGCAAGAGTAGGTTGCTGTTGAAAATCTAGTTATTGAAATAAGGGAAACCATGGGACCTATGTTTCTTTGGGTCTGCCTTACTTCACTTAATATTTTTGCAAGTCTTTCCATTTCCTAACAAATGGGGCAATGCCATTCTTTCTGATGGAGGCATAGAATTCCATTGTGTATATATACCACATTTTCTTGATCCATTTATCTACTGAGGAGCATCTGGGTTGGTTCCACATCTTAGCTATTGTAAATAATGCTGCAATAAACATAGTTGTGCTGGTAGCTTTAGTATGGTCTTGTTTGTGATCATTTGGATGTTAGGAGAAATGAACCCCAAAATAAGGACTCAAATGGTTTTTCTTTCTTGCTATTGTTTCTAACATATTTATAAGATGATTTTTGTTGCTTTTTATGTCCCTCCCTCACTGTATAACCCGTGTTTTCACTGTTGGTATAATTTGTGGAGGGGAAGGAAAAAAACAAATTGTTTAAATAGGGATACAGGTGGACCCATTGCAACAATGAGATGTACAAGACGTTATGTCGGGAAAAAAAACTTTACAACTCTGGTGCAGGGAGGGGGCAGGAGATGGGACGGGATGGGAAGGTGAAACAAAGGAGGAGGCAACAAAGCTTGATAGGAAATGTACTCATTGCCTTGCTCATGTAATTGTAACCCCTCTGTATAGTATTTTCACAATTAGAAAAAAAGAAAAAAGAAAATCTGGAAAACTTTCCATCATGTATCATAAGTTTAGAGTCAGATATTAACAGAATAAAGGCTTTTTCAGGCACTGGTACACAAGGAGAAGACATATGTAAACGATGGATAATTAGGAAGATGGGCCAGGCATTGGTGGCTCACGTTTGCAATCCTAGCTATTCAGGAGCCTTACGTCGGAGGATGTCAGTTTGAAGCCAGCCTGGGCAGGAAAGTCCATGAGATTATTATCTCCAATAAAGTACTCAGAAAAACCCAGAAGTAGTACTGTGGCTCAAGTGGTAGAGTGCTAGCCTTGAACATGAGCACAAAGAGGCTCAAGGACAGCGCCCAGGCCATGAGTTCAAGCCTCATGGGTGATCTTATTCTGCTGGACTTATGTCACAAAACACATGAATGGATGAAGACCTCTCATTGCTTGGCAAAATATAAATAAAAA